CCATTCTGGATGAAACATGCTTCTTTAAGTGAAAATCCCTTAGCTTCACATGCAGGAATAGCTGGGGGATGCAGAAGCTGTCTGAATTGAACTTCTAGGCATCTAGGCATGTAGGACTAATCTGCAGACAGCTACATTTTCAAGCTTGTGGTTTTGTTTCCTAAATCCTAGTGTTCTACTTCAGTGGCTTCTTATCGTATATATTTTTCAGTCTGATTTTAATAAACTGAGATGTATATCGAAGTGTTGCTTTTGTTGTGTCTGTAATACACTGGACAACTTCTTGCTTGGAGATTAGAAACCTCCTGAGAACTGTTTTCTTTCTGTGCAGAAGTTCTACTGCTAGTGCAGAGAGCAGCAGCATTAGTCTCCTACCAGTCTGGTGTGAGACAGGGTTACAATTTTGCGGACATTGTTCTGTTTGAGCTGTATTTGATTTATAAGTTATTCAATCTCTGTGCAAAGATAATTGATAATTGATTAAGATAATGCTCTGGTTATTTCCCCAGTGCCAGATGATACCAATGGAGAAGATATTAGACTTTCAAACAATTGTCTTTATTCATATACCATGTGTGAATGTGTGAATTTTTTTTCCTCTCTTTTTTTCTTTTTTCTTTTAATAAAGCAGATACTGTTCACGTTTCTATGTATGAGCTACAGTGGATCTTAGGTTGACATTGAAAAGGTATATTTGTGCATTTATATTTACGCAGTGCTGGAATAAGTTGCTGGATTGATAGCTATGAAAATGTCTACTAGCTGAAGGAAAAAAGAAGAGATGTAGCAAGTTTACATGTCCCTATTAACTCTTACTGGCTAAAGGAACAGAGAGATACTTTAACACTGAATTAGTGTAAACTCATCCTAGCTGAATGAGATTGCCTGAGGTGAGAGTAAGACCACCTTAGTCTCCATACACAATTGAAAAAGAGATGTAGGCTCCCGTTGGGAATGATTCAGATCTTAAATTACCTTAACTGGCTTCTGGAGAAGGCCAGGTCACTCCTTCCATTTTTTGCCTAGAGAACTAGTAGTGACTATATACTTGCTTATATGACTCAGTGGTCAGTGAGAGAAATATAAGATCTTCCTCCTACTGAAACCAACCTTGCCAGGATTGTAGGCTGCTCTGGCAGGAGGTTTCAAATAATTTATTCTCCAATTCTCTTCATCCCTTTTTTCTACTCTTTGTTCCACTTCTGCTTGAACCACCTAGAGTCACAAAGTTATAATATAATTGAGGCTGAGAGGGACCTCAGGAGGACTCTAGTCCAACCCCTTGCTGAAAGCAGGGTAAACTCTAAGGTGAAATATGTTTCCTGGGACTTTATCTGTTCAGGGCTTGAAACTCTCTAAGGATGCAGACTGCACAGCCTCTCTGGGAAGCCTCTTCTGCTGCTTGACTGAAGTCAGAATCATTCCTGGTTTAGTTTATTACTACTGTCTCAATTTTTTATTTTCTTTTAATGCCTTGCAACTCTGTAAAGATCTTGGCTCCCTCATTTGGTAATGTCCTTTTAGGCACTGGAAAGGTACTGCTAGGCACCCCTAAAAACAAAGTTCTCTGAGCCCGACCAACCCCAGCTCCCTCAGCCTCTCATTACAGGGTGCGTTCTCCAGCCCCAACCATCTTGGTGATCCTCCACTGGACTAGTTTAAGTTTATTGATGTCTTTCTTGTATTGGAGTGGACAATTTATTCCCAGCTGGACATACTGGTCCAGATGTTGTCTAAAGATTGCTGGGTAAAGGGTAGTAATGTGAGCTCCTTTTGCTCCTGAAAAATATTACAATTCAGAATCCAGGAAGAACATGAAACAAATCTGAAGTTTATTTAGTTCTCCTAAATCTGAAGAGAATGCTCTCCCATATCTGTCAGAGCTCCCTGGCAAGCCCTGACACCCTTATCTAAGAAATCCTTTCTCTAAAAAATGTCAGCACATTTCTTCCTTTGTTTTTCTCTCATTCCATGAAGATACATAATACCTGTAAAAAGAAAGTTTGGGAATTGTCAAAAAGTTGCAGTGTGGAGAACAAAGAAAAGCTTAATAAAATTAAAAGGTAAATGTAGTGAATGAAAATGAGAAGAACCTTAGCAACTGACTCAATACAGAAAGTGTTGACTCAAAATTTCTGACCCAAGGGATAATAGATTTTAGGGGCTTGAATAAATTAATAACAACAATATATGGACTTACATTAATTAGGATTGTGGGAGAGAAGCAAGTCAACATTGGCCTGTTAGCCCTGTGCAGCTGTGGGAGAGAGGCAAGTTGACATCAGCCTGTCAGCTCTGCGCAGCCCCTGAGAAGCAGCTAGGCTTTGATGAGAAACAGACCCTGGAAGAAAGGTAAGAAACTGCTGAGTTGTGCTAAGGTGGCACGGAAAAACAGCAGACAGCTGCAACTCTGAACTATGGAAAAGTAATGAACTGTGAGAAGTTACCACTGTGTGAACAGTGCATGAATAAGAAGTTGATTGGTCTGCACAGTGCATGTTAGAGTGGTCTTATGCTGAGAAAAGGTTGATAGCTGTCTAATTGCTGATTTGCTAATGATGAAGTAAGAGCTTTGGCGAGAGCATAAGTATGTACTATTGGAAAAATAAACAGCTTTGCTTGATAACTTTTATAGAGTTGTGCAAGTCCATTATTCTCCTGCAAGGATAAGGTTCAGATGGGGACTTGCAGACATCTCAAGCACAAGAAGTGAAGCAACTACCTTCCTTTTGTTACAGAGATTTCTTGTAGGCTTGAAATTAGGAGAAGACTTGTTAACAGGATTGTGGCATTTTATAGCAGGCCAGAGAGCTCACTGCCAGAGACGGTGTGTTGGATTTTCTTAGATAGTGGCTCTGCTGGAGCAGCAGGGACTAGTTTGCTAAACACAGAGATCACAAGGATTATTTGGTATCAAATAAATTCTGGTAGGATTATATGCTCTTAGTTAAGTACTGTCCAGATCCTCTTTCCTGCTCCTTTTCACATGCTTGCTGGTTTTGGATTAGCTTAAAAATGTCCCCCTCCACATCCTGTGAATCCTATACCAGTGAATGTCTCCAGGTAAGCAAAAGGGTAAGGGGGAATTTTCTGGGATGTTGATAAAGTACAGGTAAATAAATAAGCCTGTGTTTCCTTCTTATATCCAAAATAATAATGGGTGAAGCATAAGTGAATCCCCCCTTTCTGTGTATGTTATCAAGAACACAGATATCAGGACTCACATTTCTTTCTGCATAATGTTGCTTTGACTACTGGTCAGATGCTGCAGTGATGTTTTAAAGAGGCAGGACAGGACAGATCTGTGCTGCAACATTTATGCTTGCCATTGCTGAAAGCCAAATAACAGGCAATAGGAACAAATGAGCCCTTTTTAGAGGATGGATATGAATCTGTGTATGCTGTGGTGCTGTAATGTTTTTTTCATAGTGCAAATGCTCATCCTTACTGATCCTGCATACCTTCTGGATTCATGCTGAACTCGTATTTTAGATCAAAGATCCCTCATTTTTTGGACAGATCTTGCTATTTCCATCTTTTTTCTCTTTGTCTTTTTCTCCTTCCCCTTTCCCACCTTCCCATTACTACCTAGGTGTCCAACATGGCCTTTTCATCAATCTTTTTCCTTTTCTCATCCCTGATGTTGTCCTGCAGCAGTGTTGTCCTTTCTAGAACCAGCTCCTATAACTAGTGGCTTTGTCATACAGCTCAGAAATGCTTGTGTTCCTTTCCAGCGCTCATCTTTTAAAGTTAGGATGCTTCAGTGGTTATGAACTGATATTAGTAGGTCATGCTAGGAAACTGGTAATGTTACAGCAGAAATAGCTGTGCAGCTATTTTAGGAATAGGTACTGAAGTTGCTACAAGGTTGATAAAGAAATATGGTAAAGAGATAGTAGGACTTACATACTGCAGCAAGAGCATGACTCTAATGCTGTTGTCTCCCTACAACATCGTGTTCTTTTCAGCCAAATAATGACAATACTGAGTAAGAGACTCGAGAGACTGATACTGGACAGTGATTCACTGAAAATACAAGATCACATACAAACCTGACTGTTACGTATTATGGCTTTATTAATTAAAGTGAATTGAATTCATGATGTGTGTGTCCAGTTCTGGACTCCTTGCTACAAGAGAGACATACACACACTAGAGAAGGTCCAACAGAGGGCCACAAAGATAATTACAGACCTGGAGAAGAGAAGGCTCAGGTAGAAGCTCATCTATGTGTATTAATACCTGGTGGGAGGGTGTAAAGCAGGTGGAACCAGGCTCTTTTTAGTGGTGCCCAGTAACAAGACCAGAGTCAATGGGCACAAACTAAAACACAGTAGATTCCCTCTGAACATTGGGAAACACTTTTTTACTGTGAGGGTGACCAAGTATTGGCACAGGTTGCCCAAAGATTTGTAGAGTCTCCCTCCTTGGGGAATATTCAGAAGTCAGCTTGACAGGGTCCTGGGCAGCTGTAGGTGTTCCTGCTTGAGATAACCTCCAGAGGTCCCTTCCAACCTCAACCATCCTGTGATTCTGTAATCCTTTGTTACTTTCACAGTAATGAGAAACTTTTAAGGAAATCTGTCATTTACTTAGTGAGTAAGATATCATGCAATTGGAATCAACTATTTTAACATCACATAATCTGAAACTGTTCTGAAGACAAAAAAAAGGCTGCATCATCAGGGTAAAAATGATAGCTGTTTTCAGCTTCAAAACGAGTGAACATTGTGGTAGCTACCTGCCAAGGCTGATGGTAAGTAGTAGAACTGCAGTTACCAGTGGGACATCTATAATAGTCATTTGTTAAGGATAGTAAAGGGATTTTTTTGGGTTGCATCATTATATTCAACAGAAAAAGATAGAGCTTTCCTCATGGCAGGACCTTGACAGAGAGTCAAGTAGCTATCAGCAGGAGATAAGGTGAATCTGCACAAGAAAACTAAACTGCTGAAAAAAAATTTTTTTTTTAATTTATCTTTCTTTTGTTCTTTAAACAGTGGAAGCTCTACATTTGGGAACACTGATGGCAGCACATGGTTATTTCTTTCCAATCTCAGACCATGTTCTAACACTAAAGGATGATGGTACCTTTTATCGATTCCAAGTAAGTGTCTTCAATCTGTTCTTGACTTGTGTAAATGGAGGCTCATATTAAAGGCCTTACACAAAGGTTCAAAGTTAATTTTAAGCATACTTTGTCTCTTATGTAACCTAGTACACAAGTGGCAATTCCCCTTAAAGTAAAAGAAGGTAGAAGGATTTTATTTAGAAATTAAGTTGGCAAAATTTTAAGATGATACTGTCCATTTTGATCCCTGGAGAAAATATGATTGTGCTGTGTGAAAGTATCTATCATGAAATAAATTAATCTAGTGTTTTGGAAATATAGTAAATTAAATTAAATTATTTTACTGAATCTTATTTCTAACATAATCTTAATTTGGAAAGGGAGAGGTATTTTATATCAGAAATCTGTATTATATCAGAAGTCTGATAAAAAATGGAGGGTAATATTTATATTCTTTCTTATGTGAGGATTTCCTTATTTGTAACAGATTAGTATTGAAGTAGTGTGTATTCTTCAAAGTAGTGCAGACATGTTTCTACATTGATCTGTCAGTCCCATTGCATACACAAACATGCAAATGCTTCAGAACAATCTGGAAGTGTGTATATGTATGTATATTTATATTCATACCTATACCTACACATATATTATTCAGATAGCTACATGGTTGTATCCCATTATCCTAGACTTCAAACTAAGGGCTTAGAGAGCAGGAGTGTTCCTCTTCTAATAATGAATAGCAGCCTAGGCTTGAAACAAAGATGTTTGCATGCTATCTGATTATGTATTCTAGAGAAGGAATTAACTTGGCTTGCTGTGTGCCACCTTTGACAAAGGTGATTGTGTTCTGTATTGCTCTTCCTATTAGGTGATCTTCCTGGTAGGTTTCACCAACAGCTGCTCCAAGATCTGCCCTAGATACTTGTTGTTTTGAAATGATACAATGATTATCACTATGAAATTGATTATGTGAATACCATAACTTGGTAATCTTGCTCTGTTAGTTCAAACTGTGTTGAATACTTACAGAAAAACAGTATCTGGTAGAACAAAATCTGTTGTTTTCAAGATGTTTAAGTGTAAGCTTTGTCTTAAACTTTGTTCAAATAAGAAGCCATCAAGAATAAAATAAAACTGAAATTATAGTCTTTAAAATGCAGAAGAAAACTGTGATGCATTGGAGACCAATCATAGTCTAAAACACTGTATCAGATTAACTGCTGTACAACACTTTAATTGATATTTTGGCTTGAGTTCTATAGACCCACATAAGGAAAAAGAAAGGTTCATAATATTTGGTCTAAACCAAATCTTAGAGTGAATATAGTTAAGTATGTACAGCACAGCCTGTCAAGAAAGAGAATGATTATTGCATACATGCATACAGTATTATGATATTTTCATATGTAGATCCTGTGGGTCATACAGTGCAAAAACCCTGTCCTTTAGCAGGAAGTAAGTTGCATGTGTATATGGGTAATACAAAGACCAATCGTTCCAAGCCTCCTCCCCTCGATCCACAGTTACCTTTGATCCTGGAGAGAGGATTTGAAGGAAAAGGTTTCCTTCTCATTGTGCTTCATCCTCCTCAGTATTCAGTATAAAGAAGTGAGGGATGGCACATGGGTGAAGGGGCTTGCTTGCTGAGGGCAAGGCACTGATGTGGTTATGAGGTAAGTGAAAAGTGGAAAGAAATCATGGAGTGGTTGAGGCTCTAGTTCTTGGCTTGTCTCTACATAAGCAGCAGCCAGAAGGACAAAATATCTGAGTACTTCATTTTGCAGAGAATAGGACTGATTTATAGGAGTGCTGGTCATTGAATTCTGCACAGCTGCTGGCCTGCTTCTATCTCAAACATGGGAAATGAGCATCTCTGCTAGCATGATAATTCGACTGAAGGAAAGTATAGGTTACAATTAGCTGCGCTGTGATCAACTGAGAGTACTGCAGCTACCCTGCCATGGGCTTTCCCCAGAGAGGTGTACAGGTTACATGTTTGGACATGTGCCAGTCTAACCCTTTGGTGAGGGTTAGATTGTAAAATTACACCAGCTGATTTATGTAAGTTAAGGATTTGGCACCTATTTGACACATGCGTATGAAATAAGATCATTTCCTCAAGTGTCGCTCAGTATATATCTGCAGTACTTTCATTTGCTACTCTGTGGTACCGTTTGCATCACTGTTCCTATGCTAACAATATTAAAACAATGCAATTTTAGATGTTAATGTATAACATGAGAAAAAATTCATAGTGGTGTAATAGTGTTAACTGGAGTTGTAACAGCAAAAGTTGTGTCATTACAATTCCCCACCAAAATAAGGCTAATATAAAATCTGTTACTGAAGCTGTTAAATAGGAAGGTGAAGACAACATACTCAATGGGGAGGAAAGTTTGACTGCAATTGTGTGAATTTTGCGCTAGAATAGTTGTTCAGGTGCTTTGGAAATAGGACCAAATAGGACCCCCTGAGTATTGGACAGGATTCACAAATTTCTGGATATTTTAATAGAAAGAGAAAAAACATGCACCTGCCAGCACTGAAAAGTTCAGAAGCTATCCCTGCAGAGAAATCTCTGTCTGCAATACAAAGACCTGACCTACAAAAAACAGACTAGCTACAATAATGTTTTCCATGGACTTCATCTTTTGTTCTCCAAAGGGTGATGCATTCCCTCCTGACAGTAAAATTACTTCCAGTTTGTTTTAAAAAAACCTTCTGTTGTGTAGAAATAACTGAAAGCAATGGAGATTGTGCTTCATTTGTGAAAATGCCCTTTTACAGTCAAAATTATACTTTTTCAGTTATTACTCTTGCCATTAGGAGGGCTGTAAAATTGTAGTTATATCTGCTATTTTAAATAATGTGGCCTTAGATATAATAATAAAAAAAATATTCAGGATCATTCTTTGACCTACTCAGGTGCAATTAAATTAGTTTCTGTGATAGCCATTTAATTCAAAGGGGATGGATCTAAATATTTATTGCCTTACTTGGAGAGGAAATTTCTTATTAGTCTCAACAAGACAAACCAGAAAATTCAGGGATAGTAGTACTTTTTGACCCATCTGGAACAGCTGCATTGCCTTTTCCTGGTAATTTAAACCTGGGACCAAAGAAGGAGCTGAATATCTGCTAACCACCCCCCTCTACCTGACAGCAAATAGGTATGAGGGGCCTAAATAAGAAAAGCAAGGTGCACCTTAGAAAGGAGATCTTCCTGGGGCCAGGAATTACTCACTGGGACTTTTAATCTGTGTCCACATAAGTGTTAATATGTCCATCCTGGTGAGGAATGCCTGACTCGCCCTCTCAGCTGTTAAACTTCTAAAATAGTCTTTCAGCAAAAGCTATGTTGATTTCTTCTACAAGTTGCACACGCATGCTAAGGGCTTAATGTTCATGGTGAATAAAGTTTCTTAATATCTTTTATCTTTAAACAGACTCCTAGGATACCAGAGGCTAGTGATAATCACCCCCCCTTTTTTTGATGAGATTAATTTATGATCTAATGTAAATTAATTTTCAGACACGAAATTTAGGTTCTGCTGTTGTTTTGTCATTTTTAAGATGGAAGGCATAAATAGCTGAGAAAAAGCGTGAAAATGGGCATAGTTTCTTGTGAAAACATGAGTCTGGTGAAGATAGCAGCAAAACTCATGAGAACAGTTACTTGTAAAAGCATGAGTGGTGAAGACAGCAGTAAAACTCATGGATTTTGGCAAGATGAAGATTTCACCTGCGATGTCTTCTGTGCTACCACTGGGAACACTTTCTTGACAAACACATTTAACATCTCTGGCCTTGTTTTCCCATGTCTAAATTGGGGATAAAATGTATATAGCAATCATTGTAAGGATCTTGGAATGTCTTTGCTGCAAAATAGTGTAGAGCATGAAGTGCTGTGGAGCCTCATGTCTCAGGTGGAATTGCATTGCTTCCCGCATCTCTTTGAGTCAGTCCTGCTTGAGCAGCTAGCTCTTGGCTCAGCCCTGGGCCAGCCTCTGGCTATACGGATGCTGTGGCTGAACATCACAGCTCTCCAGCCACTCTTCACACCTTGCTGGATCATCTACCATGCCTTGAGGGAAGGATTTTATGGGAAGCCAGATTTTAGAAATAAAAAAGAAGCAGGTTATCTCATCCAGCATTTGGCAAATTTTCGTTGGCAATTGCACATTCAAGGACTAATTCATTGTCTGTTCGGATCAGGCTCAGAATATACAGGTTCTGTTTAGGTTTCAAAGAGGGTAAAATAATTGCAAATCCATGTGTCTTTCTGACTGCCCTATCAGTGCCCTTTTTTCTTTTTTAAGTCTCTATTCAGACACACTTTCCCTCCTGCTGCTTTCTGTGCTCATTCCCTTTCCAGGTTAGAAAAGAGGAGTCACAAAGCCAAAATCTTTATTGTTTCCAACTTTCTCAACCTCTTTTTTTGATAGTTCTGAACTAACTGTGGAGCACTACTTGCTGGTATCCTTCATCTATGGGCTTTACAGTGCTAGACTACCAATCTTACCCTTTTCCTTTACCAGGAGATCATTTGATTCAGGTGCAGTGAATGTAAAACTGAGTATCTGTGAATTCTGCCATCCATCAGGCAAAGCATTTCAGATTTTGTATAACTATTTTTTAGCAAAGTCTCGTTTTCTGCTGTTTATAAAGATTCCCTGGTGCCTGTGAGAATAACAACAGTAATATGCAAAGGAAGGTTTATGCATGATTTGAATATTCCTCCCCCATCCCAGTAATTAGATTTTAAAAGATTTCATGCAGTGGAGCAGCTTCAGAAACAACAATTCTTTTCTTATTACTATCAACAAGGGGTAGCTGAAAGATGCTTAATGATTTCTGTCCTCAGTAATACATAGTTTAATGTATAGAAGTTAATCATGCTTTAAAAAAGCTGATGGGCAACACTGATTTTTACAAGTGGATGTTTCATTAGCTCAGATATTGTTATTATTGATCAATTTTATGGTAGGGCCAAAGCATATCTATTTGTTTTATCACAGAATTGCTCATGATGCATA